TAGGAAGGAAGAAGAAAGAAGATAAGGAATGGATCTCGACGAACACATGTAAGGTGATAGAGGAGAGTAGGATGGTGAAGCAGAAGATAAGTCAGTGCAAGGATGAACGACGAGAAGAGGAACTGAGTACAACGTATAAAAAACTACACTAGACAAAAAAGTAACCTCGCCTGGTTAACTAGTTTACTAGTTACTAGCCGGTCCTAAGCCCGGGTAAACAGGGAAGGTTGGGCATAGGGCTAGCAAACCTACCCCGTAAAACAAATCTAACCGCTAAAGAAACTTCAAAGCACAAACAAAATATAAAAAATGAAAACAAACTTATTCCCCGCTGGAATCGGAGAGGCGAAATGACGCCAGTTGGTGAAAGCCTGACTTCGGGAAGCCAATTGGCCGATGTGTCTTCTCTCCCTCGATGAAAGCGAAAGTAAACGTGGGGATATGGAATGTCCGCACGATGTTTGAACCTAGCTGGCAAGGCAGCCCAGATTGCAAAGGAGATGAGAAGGTATAACATCGAAGTGCTTGGGATTTGCGAAAGCAGATGGAATGGGAGTGGACTCTCCAAACTGTCAACTGGAGAATCAATAATCTACTCCCATATTGTCACCCAGACGACAACCACGAGCACACTGAGGGAGTGACTATCATGATGTCCTCAAGAGCATCGAAGGCTGTCATGCAGTGGGAACCAATCTCCTCCAGGATCATGACAGCAAGATTCAACTCAAAAGGAAGAAAGGTCACAATCATACAATGTTATGCACCTACAAATAATGCAGAGCAAGAGAAAAAGGAGGATTTCTACAGACAACTTCAATCAACACTGGACAAGACGTCAGTTGACGATATCAAAATTCTGATGGGCGACATGAATGCGAAACTGGGAGGGACAACACGGGAAGAGAACTAACCATGGGTCGAGAGGCGTTAGGTGAAATGAATGAGAATGGAGAATTGTTTGCAGAATTCTGTGCATTCAACGATTTGGTGATTGGAGGCAGTGTGTTCAGGCACAAGGATATCCACAAAGCGACATGGATTTCACCAGATGGACACACTAAAAATCAAATCGACTTTATCTCAATCTCAAGAAAATGGAGACGCAGTCTACTGAACACAAGGTGAAGAAGAGGAGCAGATGTAGGTTCACACCTCTCACTTTCTAGTGCAAGGAACCTTCCAAATCAAGTTGAAAGCCTTCAAGGAAGCTGGTGATAGACCTCAACTCAAGTACAACACTCGGAAACTGAAGGATGAAACTACAAAGGAGATCTTCACGGTAGCCAGCCATCAAGACAAAATGGGAGACATCGAGCAACATCCCTGAAGAAACCTGTGTGGAAGAACACTGGAAGTCTTTGAAAGCTATGTGGAAAGAAACCTGCACAACAGTATTAGGAAGGAAGAAGAAACAGACAAGACAAGGAATGGATCTCGACGGATACATGGAAGCTGATAGAGGAGAGGAGGATGGTGAAGCAGAAGATAAACCAGTGCAGTGCAAGGATGCTCAACGACAAGAGGAACTGAGCACAATGTATAAAACACTGGATAAAGAAGTGAAGAAGAGTGCACGGAAAGAAGACTTGGATTTCGCCGATGACCTATGCCTAATGTCACACAAACTTGAAGATCTGCAGGCAAAAACTAACAAGTTGATAGAAGAGGCAGCTAAGACGGGATTTCAGGTGAATATAGAGAAGACAGAAGTGATGAAGATACCGCACCACCACCATCAACAACAACAACAAACTCCAATCACCGTCAACGGGAGAAACTTGAAGGAAGTAACCTCCTTCACTTATCTAGGAAGCACTGTTTCAACTACAGACGGGAAGGACGAGGACGTCAAAGTCAGAATCAGAAAAGCAAGACAGGCGTTCATTAGCCTGAAACCAGTGTGGAGATCTTCTGCACTGCACTCAGCATGTGGAACAAGATACGGATTTTCAACACCAACGTCAAGTCAGTGCTCTTGTATGGCTCAGAGACTTGGCGCGTCACGAAAGGTATTTCCAATAAACTACAGACATTCATCAACAACTACCTACACTGGCTCTATACTGAAGATGAGATGGCCAGAAAAAATAAGCAACAAGGAACTCTGGGAACGAACCAACCAAGAACCTTTCACGCAACAAATATGCAGTAGCAGGAAGTGGAGATGGATTGGCCATGCACTGAGAAGGCCGACGGAGGACATCACGCGTCAGGCCCTCGAGTGGAATCCCCATGGGAAGCGACGAGTTGTGTGTCCGTGGTGAGGGTGACATGGAGGAGATCGTGCGAGGAGGAAATGAGAGGTTGTGGGCTGTCGTGGAACCAGGTTCAAAAGATCTTAGGGAACAGAGGTCACTGGAAGCGTGCTACTGAAGCGGTATGTTCCACTAGGAACCCAAGGGACTAATAATAATAATAATAGACAAAAAAGTGAAGAAGAGTGCAAGGAAAGACAAAAGGCACTTCTATGACACACTTTCAAGTGGAGAGGAACAGGATGCTAGCAGGAGACAGGGAGAGACCTGACAGCATTATATCTAAAAGCCAGGTTGCTATCTGGGAAGAGATCAAATCAAAAGAGACCAATGAAAGACAGTGAGGGAAAGCTAGTTATCAAAGAGGAGGAACAAAGGAAACGATGGACTGACCACTTCAAAAGACTCTTAAATCGACCACCACCACCATCACCATCACTTGCAACTCGTCCACAAATACCGCCAGTATCCCAGCCACAGAATTACCAGTGAACGCAGAGCCTACGACAAAGCAGAAGTCCTGAATGCCATAAAGTTACTGAAGTCAGGGAAAACTGCAGGACCAGATAAAATCCCTCCAAAAGCGCTAAAAACAGACGCAGAGACAACAGCGGATATGCTCAAACTACTACTACTGCAGAAGGTTTGCAAGGAAGAAAGAAAATGTACTTGCCCACTGACTAGAAGAAGGGCTACCTTGGCTACTAAAGAAGGGAGACTTAATCCTTTGCAAGAACTGGCACGTAATCATGTTCCTGTACACACCAAGGAAAATATTATGCGGCATCATACTGGAGAGATTAAAAGGTGCTGTTGATTCAAAGTTACGACCGGAAGAGGGTGGCTGATTTCACGAAGAACAAATCATGTGCGCATCAAATCGCATTGCTACGCTGCGCATCATCATGTGACAGAGTATAAAGTGGCAGCCAACTGAATCTTAACTTCAACTTCATCGGTTGTGAAAGCCTTCGATCGAGGCATCGACCAAGAATTAATTTGGCAGGCAACTGCTTCAACATTAAGGAGTACCACAAACCTTCATCAACTTCATTCAACAACAATGTGAAGCCACAACATGTAGAGTGATTCAAAAGGAAAAGGCAAGGGATGCCATCTGAAGTGAAGACAGGAGTAAGATAAGATTGCCACCTACTACCACCAATGATCTTCCCGATTGTGGTTCAATGGATCATGCAACAGATAACCGATGAGGAGCGGAAAGATGGTTAATCGCTGGCTGGATTGATGAAAAGACGTCAGAACAAGATTTGGATTTCGCCGCCGATGATGGTTTACGTCTAATGTCTTGTCGCACAAACTCGAAGATCTACAGTGACAAACTAACAGGCTGGCAGTAGAGACGAGGCAGCGAGGATGTGACTTGCTTCACGTAAACGTAGAGAAAACAGCGGTGATGAAGATACCCAACCAACTACAATAAAAACAAGCACCGATCACCATGAACAGGAGGAACCTGAAGGAAGTAGTCTCTTTCACTTGCCTGTCTAAGCAGTAACGTTTCAACTACAGGTGGCGACACAGATGAGGATGTCAAAGCCATGATCGAAAAAGGGCAAGACAGGCCTTGCTTCATTAACCTGAAACCAGTGTGGAGATCTACTGCACTCAGCATAAAGCGTGAACATGATGCGGATTTTCAACACTAATTCAGTCAAGTCAGAGCTTCTTTGCGATGGTTGAGAGACTTAGTGGCATGTCAAGGAAAGCATTTCCAACAAACTGATGACATGCATCATCAACAGCTGTCTACGCTTGATACTGGAGATCAGATGAGCAGAAAGAATAGGTAACAAGTAACCGTGGCTGGCAAGGAACCAACCAAGAAGCCATCGCCCAACAAATATTCGGACGCAGAAAATGGAGATGGACTGGATTGAACATACACATAGAAGACCATTCATGGACCTCACGCAACAAGCCAGGCCCTCGAGTGCAACCGAAATGGGAAACGACGAGTTGTGCGTCCAGGGTGAGTGTGATATGGAGGAGATGGTGTGAGGAAGAAATGAAGGCTTGTAATCAGTTGCGGAGCCAGGTTTTGAAGATTGGAGAGAAGAGAGCGAAATGACAACGTGCTACTAAAGCCCTGTGTTCCACTAGGAACCAAAGGGATAAATAAATAAAAATAACTAGAACTTGTGAGTGTGTAACATTAGTGTAATACTATGTTTTTATCTTGTAATAATATCTTACTTTGAAAATCTACCATAAACATCTGCGTAATGGCAGTTTGGTTTCTCGTACACGGCAAAATATCAAACTTCAGGGAAAACCTAACCATCGTCATGTTCATTCTGAAATTCATATCTTTTCCATCCCTTCAACTTCTAGCCCGTGCATATAAGCGTTTTCTTACCGTTGGATTCATCATTCCGACGCTTAGTTAATCCCCTATTGTGTAAATTGTTGTATTTATCTCCCCCTCCCAATCCTCGGTTCAATATATATTGACTTGACAAGTAAATGTGTGATCAGATTGTTCGAAATGTATTGCACAAATACATCACATTGCTCAGATAAACTTCGTCTTTTAATTACGCTATCGAAATTCATAAAAGGGACTAACTGTTTTAAATCAAGATGATCCTACATATTTTTCAAGTATCTCTCAATTCATACCTGATCGTATACATTGGATGGAATAAATATGAACGACTAAAAATCTGTTAATTACAGTACAGTTTATACGGAATCAGGTGCGGTATTATAAGGACTTACTTTTCCAGACATAAGTAATCGTAGTACAAGTAATGAAGTATTTTGATGACTATTTTCAATATCACCGTGTGTTGTTGATGATGATGAATTTGATCTGTCAATTGTTGTGTGTGTTGTATCCTCTAATGAATGATGCGATGTTTCCATTGTTGATACTTCCAATTTATTACCTAGTCCATTCATGTTATGATTACTACTAGTAATAATGTTAGTAGTATTGACTGTTTGAAGTAATGCATTCTGTGTATTATTCGATGTGTATAAATTATCGCAAGATAGATGTGCTGCTTGCAATGGTAAATTTAATGATGTAGGGTATGTATGATATGCGCTTAAAAGTTGATTAGTTTCATTCGGTTGAACATAACAGAATGATTCACCATTGTTGGGATAATTAGTATTAGTGTAATATCCATTTGTAAGGGTAATTGGTGGGCAATAAGGATTCTGTGAAGTAGGCTGTGTTGCTAGCATTAGTCCAGTAGAAAGATTTGGAGGATTGCCAAGTCCTAGGGGATTAGGATGCGGTAGCAATGCTGTATGAAATGTGGAATAGGGTATCACACCCACATTATTTGGTATTATATCACTTGACATCCCAAGTGCATATGAAGGTACCACACTTGTGAGTGCCATTCAAAGTGAACAGTCAGAACAGATTAACTTAATATTGATGTATTCAATAACTCTGAAATTGAAAAAAAGATGAGAAATTAACAAATATATTCTTATAGCACATAAAAGACTAATTGAAAAATAGCTACTAATTAGGAGAAGACAGGAGAAGACAGAAGTGATGAAGATATCGCACCACCACCATCAACAACAAACTCCAATCACCGTCAACGGGAGAAACTTGAAGGAAGTAACCTCCTTCACTTATCTAGGAAGCACTGTTTCAACTACAGGCGGGACGGACGAGGACGTCAAAGTCAGAATCGGAAAAGCAAGACAGGCGTTCTTTAGCCTGAAACCAGTGTGGAGATCTTCTGCACTCAGCATGCGGAACATGATCCGGATTTTCAACACCAACGTCAAGTCAGTGCTCCTATATGGTTCAGAGACTTGGCGCGTTACGAAAGGCATTTCCAATAAACTACAGACATTCATCAACAACTACCTACACTGGCTCTATACTGAAGATCAGATGGATTGCCAGAAAGAATAAGCAACAAGGAGCTCTGGGAACGAACCAACCAAGAACCTATCATCCAACAAATATGCAGTAGCAGGAAGTGGAGATGGATTGGATTGGGCATACACTGAGAAGGCCGACTGAGGACATCACGCGTCAGGCCAGGTACTCTAGTGGAATCCCCATGGGAAGCGACGGGTTGTGTGTCCGTGGTGAGGGTGACATGGAGGAGGTCATGCGAGGAGGAAATGAGAGGTTGTGGGCTGTCGTGGGACCAGGTTCAATAGATCTCAGAGAACAGAGGTCACTGGAGACGTGCTACTGAAGCGGTATGTTCCACTAGGAACCCAAGGGACTAATAATAATAATAATAATAATAATAATAATAATAGTAATAATAATAATACTAATTAGGATTTTAGGCTTCTGTACAGATGACATAAACTGAGAAATAATCAAATAACAAAACTGAGGTTCTAGCGCTCGTCTTCATACTCTTTTCAATCATCAAGTTTTACTGGTATACTTTAGTAAAACACCAGCGGTAAATTCAAAATTTACGCAAGAAGCATGAAGCATAATCTTTAGATAGCAAACATATATACATATATATAAAAGAGAACATATATTATATTTTGTTAAAATACTATCTGAAAACTCTTCTAAAGTAAACAATTTTCCAGTTAAAAATCAATAATAACCATCAAAGTATTTTCACTCCTAACAAGTCTTAAAATAGACAAACATTTCACGAAAAGTTTTAAAGTAGAAAACAAAACTGCAGTTATAAAATTCACAGAACATAAACACATCTGGTAAAAATGATTCGATTTCATTAGTTATTGAATAACTACTTTTTGTAAATCTTTCAAATATATGTTGAACTGATACGTTATAATTGGATTATTGGCATAGTTCTCCTAATCTCATATTATACTATAACCATGATAATCGTTATTTCTGAAATCAGTACCTAATTATCAATGAAATAAGAACACATGAAAGCGAAGTTGAGGGTGAAGATAACTTTTGCTTGAATTTCTGTAATCATATCAGCTTCATTACCTATTTAACTGATTTTAGTATTGCTCATCCAATTGCCTGTGCTATTTTACATAAGTCAATAAAGAGACATTAAACTTCTTCACTTTGTTATCAACTCAGTTAGTCCATGTAATTCTGTTATGATTTGCTGAGCATGACACAATTTCATGTGTAATCTCCGATGTAAAGATTAATCTAGTTATTATGGCTTTCATACAAACCATGACTTCAATAGGAAGAAATTCATCCTAATTGGTTAACTAACATAAAAGAGGTTCTCTGTAGTGTACAAATTTAAAACTGTGCATTATGTTATTTTATAACATTTTGAACATAAATTTTAAAATTTAATATATATATTTGATGCTCGTGCCTCACTACCTTGGTGAGTAACACTCTGGTGTTTAAAGACATGAGTGTTGGTTTCAAGTCTTGATGGGAGCAATATCTCTCTGAGGTGTGAGCATACCTATTTGATGAACCCTAGTTAGGACGAAACCAGAATCCTAGATTCAGATGCTATTCACCATCAAGCAGATTGTAAAACATCAGATATTTGGATGTAGATATCGTGTTAAGGTTATCTATTTGTCTGTGAATTCAGAAACTCCTACATCAGTAGCTTTCTGATCAACTTAGAAATAACGCTAAGCATAGAGAAAAGGAATCAATAATGAGTCTTAACTTGTCATACTTGCCACACAAGTCTACATCTCCCCACTTGACTCAGAAGAACGGTTAAAGACTCTATCGATTTATGCTAAGTCTTGATCCGGCCACCCTGAACCCTCTATTTACCTAAAGGTAGGCTTCATGACTTCAGTAAATATTGGATAACGTTTTGTTTATTGAACAAAAAATAAACGTTTGCGTTGCTCACTTCCTTTGAAAAATAAAGATTTCCCCCAGGGGGTCTGATACCAAAATCAGTGGTACAAGTAATTTTTTAAGAAAGTATTAAGTTAATAGAATAGCTTATTTGAATACAGTTTCTTGGGATTCACAAAGTGGATGAGCCTATCATATAATATGAAATTGGTCACTTTCTAGTGACCAATCAATTTAATTTGGTCCTACTGGAGGTCAGCAGTGACCTGAATAGTTCAGACGTATCATCACTGACTTCAATACTGTAATACAGGTTAGAATCTCACACAAGACATCAGTACACTAGAGGTTGCAGGAACGGCATGCTGATGCGTGCCAACAAACATGAAACCTATGGTCAGCAAGGTTTCCTACTGATCTTCTCAAACCAACTAACAACCATCGAAGTCAACTTTGAATTGTCTTGGTCGATAGTCACAAATATTGTTGGGTTTCAAAAATCTTCACTGTTCGATTTTTCCAGAAATAATTAAAAAAATAATCACTTGTTCATACCATTAGTAACTGACACGATTGTTTATTTAAACATACGATGAAGCAGATTTCCTATTGTTGGTAGGACCAACTTGATCGGGTACTATCGCCACATAAGTTTCTGTATAGATGCGTCTATATTGTCTGCATTTCCACTTTTGATAATGATAATAGTTAGTGGAAAGCAGTGGAATCCAGGACGTGCGTTTTGCTTAGCTGATGACTCCTAAATAACTCCATATTAGATTTGTTTATTTGATTTATAACACATAATGAAACAGCATCATTTACTTCATGATATTTACAGCATAACTTATTCCTGCTCATGATCATATCAATGTAATCACATAACACTTTCAACAACGGATTTTTATAGTTCTGTCACACTTCATATTCTTTGTTCCTGTTAGTAGCAAAATTATCCATATCTCCAGTTTAGCTGTCGCGTCGTTTCCACTACATGTTTTGGGTGTTGGTTGGATGAACAAAGAGATTGAGTAATCAATCTCTCTCGGTCTCCATCTAATTATATTAGACTTGAGTGGAGTGACTTTATCCCACCACATTGTGTGTGTGTGTGTGTGTGTTAATGCATACACTACAACAGTCGAGATCTCTTCTAGATTACTGATCTTATTGGTGTCTGTCATTGTGCATTTGTCTAGATTTCTATGTTCGGTTATTCTAACTGAAGCCAACTGGCTGGTTTGACCCATGTACTTCATCTCACAGTCTCCACATGGAATTGGGTAGATTAGATAATTTTGCTTGATTGGTTCTATCGTATTCTTAAGCCAGACGACAAACCACCAACCATCATCTCAGTTCTGTGAGTAAGTTCTAAGTCAATATTCAGTTGACTTCTTACAGCTTCCAGTGCCTTATTGACTGGTATTTTAGTATAAAGGTTTGTTACATCGAAACAAACCATTTTTTATTTCTTTTCTATGTATAGGCCATTAAGCTTAAGTTTTAACTCGTAAGAGTTTACTAGTCTGGAATTTGAACGGCTCCTAAGTAAGAAACAACCCACGTCCTGGTTTTCACTTTTAACCGCTATCAATCATTCATAAATTTGTCGTGTATTTAACCGTCTTACTTAATAAAGAATGAGCATTGAAATGACATTTATTCCTTTGTAATGCATTTTATAGATTTGAAGCAAAAATCATTTTTAATGCCACCCACTGACAACCTAATTTGTATCTACGAGAAAAACAAAAACATACATCTATTAATTGGATGTATAAATCCTGAAAACCTCTCCTGGTTAACTAGTTCACTAGTTACTAGCCGGTCCTAAGCCCGGGTAAAGAGTGAAGGTTGCGCATGGGCTAGCAACCCTACCCTGTTAAACAAATGTAACCGCTAAACAAACTTCAAAGCACAAACAAAATATGAGAAAGAAAAACAAAATTATTCCTCGCTGGAATCGGATAGGCGAAATGATGCCGATTGGTGAAAGCCTGACTTCGGGAAGCCAATTGACCAGGCCGATGTGTCTTCTCTTCTCTCAATGAAAGCGAAAATAAACGTGGGGATATGGAATGTCCGCACGATGTTTGAACCTAGCTGGCAAGGCAGCCCAGATTGCAAGTGAGATGAAGAGGTATCACATTGAAGTGCTTGGAATATGCTAAGAATCAGCAGATGGAATGGGAGTGGACTCTCCAAACTGTCAACTGGAGAATCAATAATCTACACCGATATTGTCACCCAGACGACAGCCACGAGTACACTGAGTTATGGAGTGGCTATCATGATGTCCCCCTCCCAAGAGCATTGAAGGCTCTCATACAGTGGGAACCAATCTCCTCCAGGATCAGGATCATGACAGCAAGGTTCAACTGGAAAGGGAGGAAGGTAACAACCATACAATGCTACACTGTGCACCTACAAATAATGCAGAGCGAGAGAAGAAGGAGGAGGAATTCTACAAACAACTTCAATCAGCACTGGACAAAACCTCAGTTGACGATATCAAAATTCTAATGGGCGACATGAATGGTAAACTGGGAGATCACAACACAGGAAGAGAACTAACCATGGGTCGCGAAGTGCTCGGTGAGGTGATGAACGAGAATGGAGAATTGTTTGCAGAATTCTGTGTATTCAACGATTTGGTGATTGGAGGTGAGGCACAATGT